ACAACAGCACCAGCAACACCTTGTGCAACTTTAATAACGTCTCTTTCAGAAAAATATCTACCTGCGGCAGTATTATTATTATTCGAACTTGAGCCGCAAACATTTCGTTCCATTGCATCCAACGAACCCATGCCACGATATTTTTTTAGTCTCTGACCTTCATGATAAAAATAATCTCCGGGAGATTCAGTGGTACCAGCAAGTAGCCCACCCATCATTACAGAAGAAGCTCCAAGAGCTAAAGCTTTCGTAATATGGCCAACATTTTGAATACCACCATCTGCAATTACTGGAATACCAAATTTTTTGGCGAATTGAGAAACCATGTATACAGCAGTTCCTTGAGGACGACCTACTGCCATAACTAAATAAAGCATAACGTCAAAACTAATGATAAATATTAATCAAGAGAAAATAAATTAAATCATAAAATATCAACCTTCCTGTGTAATGCATATACTGCCACTACCCATGCCGACACGCAATGCGTCAGCACCAGCTTCAATCAAACGAGCCGCTTGCTCTCGAGTGACAACATTACCAGCGATGACATCAAGCGTTTCACCATATGTTTTTTTGATATATTGTATCATTTCAATTTGGTATGATGAATTTCCCTGGCTAGAATCCAATACTACAATATCTAACCCTGCATCAACCAGCTTTCGAAGTCTTGCTTTATCTTCGAATCGAGTTCCAATGGCTGCAGCACAAATCAATTGTTTCGAGTGGGGAGACTTTGATGCCAGAGGAAAATTAAGATTTTTAAGCAAATCGGACCTGGCAAGTAATGCAACCAATTCACCACGAGAATTGACAATCGGTAACTTCCCACGTTTACTAGATCTAAGTATTTGATTAGCTTCTTCGAGAGTAACACCTTCATGTGCTACCACAAGATCGGTTGTCATAACATCTTTAAGTAGTGTGGTGTGATCTTCATGGAATTGAATATCACGAGCAGTAACGATACCAAGAAGTATACTGTAGAGTTTTCCGTTCGCTATGATAATTATTATTGAAAATAATATCACGTAAAAGAATTGAATAAACATATTGTAAACTTTTTTTTTTCGATAAAATAACGCTATATTCTAGTTTTGGATCAGATTACATAATTTTCCACAAGGATACTTTAACGTACACCATTCGGAAGAACGAAAGTTAAACAATTTTTATTCATCATATCCATTTCATATGAAACCTTTGGCAAAGAGACATCAAGGACTGGAAAGAAATATTTTTCACCAAGCGATGTATAAAAAATTCTTGAAAATAATTACTTTACCAGTTATCGGAATTCCACTATAACCAAATTGAGCTTTGATCCTATGCACATCAGCCACGGTATGGTTAGGAGTTAAGCATACAGGATCTGTGATAAAGCCATTTTCGAATTTTTTCACCTTCCTAACCATCTCAGCTTGTTCATCCGGTGAACAATTGTTATGAATGACACCAATGCCTCCCAATAACTAATAAGGATACACGTGACATCAAGGTCAGTAGGTTAAATTTGTAAAAAATGATTTTCGAAGATAACATTGACTTATGAAACATCCACAGTATCATGCTGTAGACCAAATGCTCATGTATTTAAAAAGATACGCGAAATGCTTAAAAAATTAATTGAACTCACGGCCATGTTAATAGCCATTTCGGTTTCTGTCACAGTGTCCATAGGCGAGCTAACAAACGGGGTCTTTAAGGTGATATTTTTTGTGATCTTGGTCTCCAAAGATACCTCAGAAGCTGGAAAATCAATATATCCGGGCAAAATAAGAAAGTCATTATAAGTTAAACCTCCATTGACACGTGAATCCATAATTTCTTCTGCGGATAAACCATCAGCTGTACTATATTCTGATAAATGCTGCATAGCATTCATTGGATCAAGATAAGTGTAAACACCATTATCGTGAACCATTTTGATTTCGTCAGTTCTTTTTTTTTTTAATTTAATTTCAACCGATAACGATAAGAAAGGAGTAGTAAGTTGCGGAGAGTAAGGAAGTAAAATAAAAGCAAGTTTTATACTAAAATCTAGATCGAATACGATTGGGCATGTTGAGCAACGTTACACTGAATGTGAAGTTGCTCAAGAATCCCGCTAATGAAGTTGGTAACAAATTATCTTATTACCCAAAATTCTATTTCTCTTTGAAGTCCTAAAACCTATACAAATATCATTTACGTATTATTTTAATAAATATATACGTATTGAAAGACTGTGATATATAATAAGTATACATATTTCTGCACTTTTTTGGCAAATTGAAAAATTTTAATGTTAGACCTATCGTGTTTTTATAAATACTGGTTATTTATTCGTATCGGTATCTGTATGGTGGATTTTTTTGATTTTGGTGATTATTAAATAAAAATATTAAATTGAATTGTATGAATTGTATGATTGGTTGTTTTCTGAGATGTAAGTTGCTTATGAAACCGTCATGAATTCGCTTATGAAAACATGATAAAATTAAACATTTTGTTTGTATTTAATTGGTTAATTGTATACTTATTAAACGTAATTTGATCTAGTGACGCTGCGCAATCTATTTTATGCCGTAATCAAGTTTATTCACTGAAGCAAAGCAAGTACTCCACAAGTTGGGTGTAGGGATGTTGA